GAAATGGTCCCCATAGGTGCGATTGCCCCGCGTATAATTAAATAGTAAGGCATTTATATTTTATTCACTGTTGCCTAGAAAATCGCCTACATGCAATAAAAAATGATGACCGAAAAATTAGGGAAGCAGGAAGACGTTTCCAGATACCTAAATTAACCGTAAGAAAAGAGCTTTTAGGAAATTGTCTCACGCCGCCTCTCAAACGACATTGAGGTCGAGTTAGAAAAGCATGTTGTACTACTTTCAAAAATATTTTATGGAGTCTCACCTGCTGGGCTCTGTTCTCTACTAAAGAAAAATCCGAGAATCCATAGAAATCTATAAGTAACCAAACAATCTCAATCCCAATCTCAATATACAAGCAGGTTAGAATGCGAGACAGTTAGGGTTAAGCTCTGAAGAAGCCAACAGTAACATTGGCGAAATGTCAGCAACTATGATTTATAAACAACCAGAATGCTAATGATTTGCAAATAGTATTACAGTAGCCTGTGAAAGTTTCTATGAAAAATTATAAACAATAGCCATATAGTGCCTGTTCCACGTCATATCTCCGATCATGTTCAGACTTGACACTTTTGGTCCATTTAAGACTGCTTTTATGGCATTTATAACAGTCGCCATAATGGACAAATAAATGTGTTTACTGCTTCCTTACTTTAAGAATCTATCTGTTAGTTACGAATGATGAATTTACTCCTTCCAATCATGTAAAAGATTTTACTATAGAAGACAGTTCTTGGTTCCTATACCAAAGAAAAATGTCACAAAAGGGGTAAAAAAAAAAAAACTCGCGAGGGACAGTACCCAAAAATTCTTAGCAGCACAGCTGTCAGGGAAGGACTGTAGCTGAAGAAAAGAAAATATCAAGGGGAAAAAAACTAAAGAGCTAATAAAAAGAGAAAACCGACGTAGTTCTTTTAATGATGAAACTCCAGGTCCCAAGAAATTTAAAGGGAAACAGAAACTGGAGAGACACCTGAATCATCTTACGAATCACTGGACGAAGATTTATGCGACATATGTAAGGGCAACTAGTTAGACGATGTTGACTTAAACCACCTTTTTCGAAAAGAACCTTATAAGCCAAACGAAAACTGTTGTCGGCAAATTCCTAAAGACAAAATACATCAGCAAATTACAAATTTGACCACTATTATTTGATATTAGCTTTTCAAAATAAACATTTTTTGTAACACGAATGGCGGGCCGTTCCCCAACCCCGCGGGCTGGGAAACTGTGCGCAAATGTAATTATCCCTTTTCTCAAATATTGTGTAAATATTTTTTTCAAGTAGCGCATCCTAAAGCGTTATTGAAATTATATTACCTGTTTTCTTCTCGAAGCAAACACATGTATGATACGCTTGCATATAACATGGTGAAATTTGGCATAATTAAATTGTCCAATTTTTGATATAAAAACAGTATCTCCAAATGTGAAAATGACAGGAGAGCGAGATTTTAAGTATTTCTTTAAATGTTGAGAGGGATCATGTGATGCCTCTTTTTAAAGATTTTTCACGTTCAATTCTCAAACCAATTTTTAAAACATTTGATTTGTCCGTCCTTGCAAGACAGTCAAATGAATGCCTGCAAATGTTTTATTACTTTTCTATTACTTAACCGCAGCCTAAATTAAAAAAATTAATAGTTTCATCATTTTATCAACTACTTTATTAAATGTTCGAAATTATGCAAAGTTTATGGGGGAATTACACTGCAAACATTTCAAACTCTGTTTTTCAGGTTTTCAAGTGAATTTGGTCTTGTAACATAAATTTTACTTAAAAGGCACATAACCCTTTTACAATTAAAAAAAAAATACTTAAAATGGCACCCTGCTGTCATCTTGAGATATTGTTTTAATGTCAAAAATTAGACATATTTTTAATCACAAAAAACATATGGTAAATTTAGTAGTAAGCAATTGTCATATTGCTCAGGGATGCTTGTCAAGATTCTTTAGCCAGTTCTAGCTTCCTTCATAAGCTAGCGAAGGTCCTGGAAAATACCTTGGACTCTCAACCACACTCATTTATTCAACAAATATTGACAAACTCCATGAGTATCAATCACTCTTATATGACCGCGATTCAACCAAGCAGAGTTGTAATATTCTGCTACTGAAAATATGAGAGTAAAGGCCGATGTCCTACGAGGGCAGCGCCAAAATTTCCCGAAGTGAATGAAAGAGTAACAATTTCTTATTATTTTTCAATGTAATCCCCCTTAACTTCAATGCACTTATTACATCTCTTTATTAAAAACTCAATCCCTTTAAAAATATATTCTTTTGGTTTGTCTGCAAAATGAGCTAAAACAGCCTCTTTTAACACAACTTCGTGGTTAAACCACCGTCCACGTAAGTCCTTTTTCAAATAGCCAAACAAATAATAGTCGCTGCTGGGCCATATAGGGACTATAGAGAGGATGATCTATCTGTTGGAACCCACACTTTAAAATGGCAGCTTGTGCAACACCAGCTGTATGGACAGGTGCATTATCGTGCAAAAGACGCACGCCTTTGGTCAGTTTTCCTTGACGTTTTACACGTATGCAGTCTCGCAATTTATGAAATAATGTTGCGTAATATTTACCATTGACAGTGGTATTAGTTTCTTTAAAATCTACCAAAAGAATTCCTTCACAATCCCAAAAGATCGTGGCCATTACCTTTTTTGTTGACTGGCAGACTCCGAATTTTCTTGGAGGTGCTTCACCCTTTACGACGCCACTTCATTGATTCTTTTTTCGATAGAGGGTCATAATAAAGAACCATAATTTCATCCGCCGTCACAATAGTTTCTATCACAGGCTTCGGTTCCGACCCACAGAGTTCCAAAAAAGACCGCGCACACTCGACACTGCGTTGTTTTTGAAGAACCGAAAGGTTTTCAGGAACTCATCTTGCACTAACCTTATGTATACCTAAATGATCATGCAACGTCGATCACTCAATACCACGTCACCTCTTCCACAATGGCAACAATATCTTCCGTTATGACCTCCACTGGTCGACCAGTTCTTGAATCATCTTCAAGGGACTCCTGCTCCATTCGAAAACGTTTTACCCATTCTTTCACCACAGAATAAGAAGGAGAACTTTGGCAGTACACACCATCCAGTCTTTCTTTAATAATTTTAGGTGCTAACCCTTCTTTTGTCAAAAACTTTATGACTGCTCTATACTCAATTTGCGTTATTTGCGACATTTTTTCGCGCACGTCTTGTTTAAAATACTATCAATAAAAAACTATTTGACGCAAGACTTCATTTTTTTTTTCGCAGTCTACTAAGATATATATTTAAAAGAAGACAAAGTTTTATTGTGATACTGGAGCTGCATCTATGTCAGGCCGGGAAATTTTAGCGCTAACCTCGTAAAAACTAACGCAGCTCTTCCTGCAAGTTATTGTGTTATACTATGTCTTGTTCTTGTTGTGCAGGATGTCTTCCCAATGTGAGTTCTGAAGGTCAGAGTATGGCCAAAGTTTAATTGGTTGACGATTATGTTTTAGTATTGTGGCGATATTTTAAAACACGACCCTCAGTCTAGCGGAAGTCAGATGGGGCCACTCGTAGACACAGTATTGGCAAGAAGGGTATCGGTAGCGGCCGCCAGCTTTTAAACAGTGGAGAAGGGCGTGGGGAGTTTTTATAAGGGCGCCACGTATTTATACACTACCTAACCCGCCAATAAGATAGAGTTTATTACTGTACACTCGACTTCCCACTAAATACGAAGTGATTATTCGAGTTGAGAACCCCAATCCCAATGAGAGGTCACAATAACAACAAACTCGGTTGACACGGAGTATTAGAGTTTAATTGTGCAAATGTTGGTACATGAGTATGTATATAAAAAAGAAAAATTAAAATAAGTCAAATGTAAAAGGGAAAGGTACAGTCGGTTAATCGGAACGTGATCTTATTAGTTACCCCGCTATAGCGCCGCAAGGATTAGCCTCAACCGCAGGTAGTTTCAAGTCAACCGGGTAGATAGCGCGAAACCGAACGAGCGATTTATGACGTCATATATCTTCGAACAATGCGCATGGTATGAGAGGGAAGCTACCGAGCTTCGACACTAAACGAGGGTGTCTATAGTTACAACACAATCGAGGGTCATTACTAATAATTTAAGTTTACATACGTTAAATGACCTGAGCTGACTCAGGTGTATAACCGATAGATAACCATAAGGTTTCACTCGTCTACTCTCCTAGCTCCAACCTTCCTAGTACGGCACTGCTGCGTACGCTTACACCGTGTTGCGGGCACGAACTTCTAAGTGGTGCGCGTGCTGCTCGGGAACGTGTAGTACCCAAACCGAGCCAGTCATAAATCCAAACGCGCCAGGTAGGAGGCAGGTAGAACACGCAAGTCCAAGATCCAGAAAAAAAAGGAAGATCCAAAACAGAGAAGAACCAATCGGAAATTAAAACCGGGAACTAAACGCCAAGTAGGAAAACCCTGTAAACAAATTCCTCAGTTTACAGTGTACTATAGCGGAAGATTCTTACCTCTAGCGAGGGTTTTCCACGCTTCCGCTCGCTTAACGACTCGTGCAGCCTGAATACAGCACAAACCAATGGCCGCAATTACCACAACTCCAAACGACGGAAGCTAACCGGCTTAGCGCCTCTATGCACAGCAGTGTTATAGGATCCCTAGTGATCGAAGGCGGAATCAATAGCACGTGGTGGCGTGAGCCGATAATCCCACAAAATGGTGCGTGAGCTGTTCAGCCAAATCCCAATAAGCCCTGGAACGGCCTCACTCGCCTCCCTCTTGGCTTCTACACGACAACAACTCACACGCTGCGGTTTTCGCTTTTTACTCCCCAACAAAATGGGTTCCGGGTGCTCTTCACCACAGAAATACAAGCGAACCGCCAGCAACACTATCCACCACAACTGCTTGCTAAACGATTACTCCCAAGATGGCTAAACGATTGCTCCGCGAGACTTCCTGCCGGAAGTACGTCGTAAAACCGAAAATACTATCCATCCCACTCGCACACGCGAAGAATCCACTTTAGTATCTCTTCCTTTCGGAACATTACGGCCTTCCTCCAAACTAAATAAGGCGCCAAAGATACATGCTGCCAAGTTTCGCATTTGTATGAGCTACGACTACACGAGACAAATGATGCTTGTGTGCTACGGAAAGGGTGGCATGTAGCGCAATGATACCTGCGCTAAACGAGTAAACAAATAACCCTAGACCAACGACCAAGAGAACGTAATTTTTATTTATTGGACTAGCTTACATCGGAAGGATCCACGGAGCACTTCACGAAATCTATGCATTCCGGCAACACCGCCAAACACCTGTCAGGTGATGGGAGGCGACGGACGTAAACAATGCCGGCAAACCAAATACTGAAAGAAATACTGACTTCTAAGTCAAGAACCAGGGAGGTGTGTACAAATAACAGCCAGGTAGGTACTAAAATGCTCCCTCTATGCATAACAACCCGAATACAGGGAACAGCAACCAACTAACCTGAAATAACCATGTGGTGCATATCTTCTCTTATAGCCTTGGATACTGATTTGATCGCTCTCCTTTTAAGGAGCGACAACTAGAATAGAGACAGGCAATGCTACGGAGCCTCGAGTGCGAGGGATGTCGCAGGAATATACCAGGACGAACGAAAGCAATGGCTACAATAACCGTTACAACTCTGAGCAGCCTCTAGCCATCCAAGAAGTACTAAGGTCTCAACCTAAGGAAGTATGCAAACATGTCTACATGCACTGGCGTGTAATGTCGCCACAAGACCAGCGAAGGCGACGCAGGGGCATTATATATAGAGTTGGAAGAAGATAATCACCATTACACGAAATTTCTCAATACTACGTTAGAAATATCCTTTAATGGCTTATGTTAACTGTACCTAGTAACGTATAAGTGCAATAAGATCCTAAATAAAAAATTGGCTGTATTACTAAGGAGATCTTCCCGTTCGAAAATTTTACCAGGGTTCTTGACGAATTGGCGGAAGCGCTAACGGTGAAAAATAGACCGTTACAGTATTTGGTTTTAAAATATGATTCTTGATGCAAAGTTTGCCTGTTTGTTAATAAGATGAGCAGGCTGCCTCTGTGTTAACTAGGTTTAGAATTAGTCAGCACAAAAGCACTTAGTTGTACAGCACATTACAGTTCATACATAGCAACGGTAAAATTTGTTAAAGTCAATATCTCTGTTTTACCGGGTTCTATAATCAAGGTATTTTCCTCCATCGTGGATGAAGCAAGCCCAAGTCAACATTGCCATTTTCCGACGTTCGCGACTCCCGAAGCGGAAACTATTTTACCTCGTCGGGCACATACAACAGATAAATATCACCCCTCGCCGAAACTTCTCGCATTCCCGGGGAATAGTCACACCGCCCTTATTAAAATCTAACCATACCGCGCGACTACTAACTAAAACCTCTTTTATTACCGTCCGCATCTGCGAACACGCCGACTACGGCTTTAGAAACGTAATCGCGAACTTATGTTCCGCTTTACGTGGATGACTTCCTATATTATTTATGGGACGGCACATACAGCATCCATATCGGGACTTCTCTAATTTCAATCCGGTCCGTTGATTCCGAAAAGGCCCCTCCGGGACGGCGACGCAGCGACTAAAAATTTTAAATTTATGTCTGAGGCAGCGTTCGCAAATCTAGGCCAACGCAAATACGTCAGGCCTTTGCGGAGATTTCTATCGATTCCCGATATATATACGAAACGTCGGCGGTATTCAAACTTGTCTCCGGCAGATTTCCTGATATTTACGATTGATTAAACAGTGAAAAATTCCTTTCGAGATTGATGTGTGGTACGTGCGTGGCACACAACGGATATTAGAACCGCAGAGTGGTTGTTGGCGTTTCGGGTTCAAAGGAATACTCGTCGTGGTTCAATTATTATACGAGACCGACGGCGCTCATGATACTTCAAGTGGAATCGATGCTGCGCGATTTGTGGCAATTGCTGATCCGTACTCTAATGCAGTGACATTATGTCTGATTGTTGCGTTAGGCACGTGGGTAGTTTGGTGGACCTTTTTCGAAGCAGTTCCCGGTATAAAGCTAGTGATTGGACCATTAATTAAAGATGAAAAACTTGAGGTGGCCAAATGGATCACTGCATTAACATACCCTGCATTTATTACTCCGAATAATAGTATATTTATCCTAGAAACTGGGGATTGAGAAAAAAGTTAATTGATGTATTACAAACCTTTAATTTATCTTAATTTTGTATATACCGGGTGTTTAATTTCTTCGTGGGCGAGTATCAACTTTCTTATTTTGAATGGAACAGCTGGCATATTACTTCATTATTGAATTCTGCATAAAATTCTAGACATATTTCGTATATAATGTCCAATATCTAACCGTTTTTGACATTTTTAATTTTTTATGCGAAGAATGACGTTTGCAAGACGTAAAATATCTGCCAATTTCTTCATTCGCAAGCATTTATTGTTTTACTTGAGTAAGTTATTATTTAAATTTCGATACATTTTAATACAGGGTGCGCGAAAAATAAGATTAAAAACGAAATTAAAAAGCTGCCAAAAATCTTTTTTTTTGTAAATGGACACTACCTATTTTTATAATCTTGTCATATTTAGCATTAAAAATTAAAGCAATTTTATATAAGGTTGTATATGCCTAATATTTTTACTTTTTCAAATATTTCCTTTTAAACATCTCTCTATCACAAATAATTTGCTGTTGAATGATAAGTTCAGTTCAAAGTGTTACCACTATGATTTATCATTTCATAGTTGACCACAATCTTGTCGATGCGCTTATGAAGATCCAAAGATTATGTAAATGTGTGTTGGCATTATTTATTCGGAATAAGACCAAGGATACGCGATAACGTTGGTGAATATTTTTTTAACGAACGATAAATCAAAAATTAATTTAGGACAAAAGATAATAATTATTGTAACAGTTGTTCAATATGTCCTCCACTTTGAGCAATATAAAGCGTTTCTAAATACATAATGGCATTGCTTACAGATTCAGTCCCATTTAAATATCCGATACCTTCTCTTATCCGACGTTTAAGATTCTCGGCAGTTAGCGGTTTGTGTTTGTAGACTAAATATTTAAGTGTACCCCATAGAAAAAAAATCTAGGGGAGTTAAGTCGAAGCTCCTTGGATGCCAGGCGTAACTACAATTCTCACCAATAGTAGCATTAAAGCAGGTGCTAATTTCTTGACTTGTATGAGAAGGAGCGCCATCCCGCTGCCAAATTAAGTTTCGTCGTTCCCTTTCAGGTACTTCATTTGCAACAAAGGGATGGATAATATTTATAAGCTCTAAGCAGTGTTGGGAATTTAAATTTTGATCAAAAAATACTGGACCTAGTATTCTGAACCTCCAAGTGGCGCACCATACTTTGACAGAAGTTCCAGCTGATTATGTAACTTCCATATGTTTTTTTATTATTTTTAATGCTCCACTAATTTTTCCTATTAAAAATTGTAGCTGACATTGTAAATATGGACTCATCTGTTCAAATAATATATTTTCTGAAAAGTTTGTCTCCATAACATGTTGCGAAAATCTAACCTAATGTTGTAATCCCGTTGCTCTACTGTCTGCACTGGACAGAGTTTATAGGACTTCCAGTTGTTTATTTGGAGGTTCGTCTGAAGCGTTGTTTTTTTGACATCTACATCTAAAGACACATTTCGGGTTGAATTTTCAAGGTGTCTGGAAAATGCAACAAAATAGTAAGGTGTTATTCATCATTGAAAATATGTTGTCTATTTTTTCCTTTCTTCTAGGTCCCATATATTCTAAAGTGTTGGTAAATGTTATCGCAAACATCCATTAGTGGATATGCATCGAAAGAAGAAGAAAGCTACAACCTCGCTGCTAATATTCGGAGTTAGCCAGGTGCCCGATACACCAATTTGTATTTGATAATTTTGTTGAACAAATCAGGCATACTCTTTTACATCTCGCTCCATATCATTGTTTATTAAACAACATGGAACATTTGTGGCACCAAATAAAATCAAATTTGTGGACAGAAGTAAGTTAAGTTCGGAGTGTAGTAAATATAATTAAAAATGTAATTAATAATATACTTCTTGACAACTGGAAAATGCAAGAAAGCATATTTTAAAACTTGAAGATCCTTACGTTTACATACAAAATAACATAACGACTCTGAGAGTGAAACAAAATTAGATTTTGAATAAAAATACACTTATTTAGGTAATTATTGACAATTTTTATATATTTAGTGTTATCGTCTTTTCTGTTAGTGATTACTATTACTATTATTATACCTAAATAAACATAATATAATATTTAATTTTCGTATTTTTAATACGAACTTTTTAATACTGGTCAGGTGAATATTTAAATAATTGCTAAAACAACATACCATACCAAGACTGCAGAAATGACGATATCATCCAACACACCAAAAAAATTTCAGGAAAGCAATTTTCTTCATATATATATATATATATATATATATATATATATATATATATATATATATATATATATATATATATATATATATATATATATATATATATATATATATATATATATATATATATATATATATATATATATATATATATATATATATATATATATATATATAACACTGTGTTCGAAGTGTTTTCGGAGCGCGAGCATTGAAGATGCCAAGTGAGATTTTGGCGAAACGTCTGCAGGATTCCAGTCGGATGCAGGATTTGCAGGATTCCAGTCGGAGTTCAACGAGCGAACGGATGATATCCCGGAGTATAGTGTCATCACATTTTTCCATCCGTGAATCAATACGTGAGAATATATATATATATATATATATATATATATATATATATATATATATATATATATATATATATATATCCCTAAGGCCTAAGAAGCGATTATAATGTGCAGTAGTTCTATACGGACATCTACCATCTCTTTCTAGATGTACGTTACTGTAAACAGAACTCATTCAGGAGTACCACCAAAAAGGATATCTCGCACTGATCTAACTATGTCCAAGAGTGAGTCCGATCTACCGTGGTGTATCTCAAGAAGAATGTGGTAAATATAGTCAGATATCGCCATAATATTCCCTAACAATATATGCTACATCGTCAGTAGAGACATTCGAATTTAATCACGACTGAATATATTTAATTTCGATATTTAAAAATTTGGATACACATGATCGACGTCACTCAGCGCAGTAATTTCAACGTTTCACGTCAGTTTACACCAATTCTGCCATCGAAAGCATCATTCGGAAACTCCATTCCATTTATCAGAGAGCGGCGCATAATCGATAATCTCCGTGACTTGCAGATAACTTATTGTTTCGGGAGAGATTTTAGATGAGAAATTTTTGCATGGCAATGCGGGTCGTGATCGGGCATTTTTAACGAACGACCTTAGGCAAAAACCGACGAATTTAAATAAAGGGCATTTGCTGGAAATACAACGCGATACAATTCCTAAACTAATTTAAGATGCTAGACCGTATTCCGTTCGAAATTTTGATTATTTTTACAAAGACTATAATTCGAATAAATACCAAGATTATTTAATATACTCAAGGGTTAGAATATCTCTAACTGCAGGAGATAGAACACTGAATATGATAATAAGAATAGGATAACATGGAAAAAAAGTCATTACTAAGGGAGGGGCAAAGAATGCGGTTTCTTTAGGGACCAAATTTTTTTGTAATTTATCTTAAGAATTTGCTTTGATTGCCTTAAGTATCTTTCTGTTGCTGCTACTCGAATGCTTTAGAGTCATGTGGATCCTGTGGAGGCAGTGCAACACAAGTTTGTGAGAGTTTGTACTTTCGAAAGTGGGGTTAATATGATTACAAGGCAGTTGAAATGTAGTTCTCTTTGCCCCCTCT